AAGGTAACGGCGGATGCAGCAATGAGTGGTCCGGAATCATCGCTTTCCCAGCGCCATGGCGATAACTGGCGTCCCGTGACGCACGCATTGCGGACGCTAACGTCAGCCGAGCACCGGTACTCGAAAATCAAAAAGGAGGATCTAGCTGTGAGCTTTGGGTGTCAAGAGTTTCACTGCTTCGTTTATTTTGCAAGATAATTTGGAAACAGATCATCGGCCATTGATTGCAATCGCTCAGAAGGCGATTGGAGAGATGCCGCCCAGATTGCAAAGCTTTTTTCTGCGGTTACCATAATGACTTCGGTAGGGAATATTTTTCAGGGAAACAGCTCCTTTTGACCGACATGCCCTCAAAGGCCACGCATGACAAGCACGGGGATGATACAGCAAGCAAGGGCGGACGAGGTCGAAGTGTACTCCGTGAGTATAGTAATAGTCTTTTTTCAGCGCTACCAGTGTGAAAAGCATTGCACATGAAACCGCTAAGGACCCGTACTCAAGCGACGTAATACAAAGTGTCTGCAACGGCATGGGAGTAGAAAAATAACTAAAGCCTTTTGAGGGCGAGCAATCAGTGGTGAAGGTTATGTTTTTGAAAGGCACGAACGTTTCGTACTTGAGGTCATGCAACCCGAGATGTTGACGAGAATTCAGCAAGGCCACATGGGTGCAAAGCGAGAGCCACGTAGATTCGTGTTTTGGCCAAGTATTAACGTATATGTTACATCTCTGATCAAACAGTGTGGGGTATGCAGACGCTACGCGTACATTCAGCCAAGGGGACCACTCATCTTGAGCCAAACGCCGGAATTTCCGCGGTAGGGTTGGTGTTGATCTGTTCCAGTGCGAAGGAAAACCATACTTAACGGCATCTGACACTCTTTCCAACTTTCCAAAAGTAGAGTAACTAATCGACACGTCGTCAAGCACAGTCATCGAGAAGGTGGGGGCCATATTTGCGGGATACGGCATCTTAGTCGAAGTATGCACTGACAGTGAACCCCAGTTCTCATGTCGAGAGTTCACCTTGTTTGCTCGCAATTTTGATCTTGAGACACATAACGTCAAGCCCGGAGTTCCCTCGATCAAACAGTTTATCAAAGAAAGGCGTGCACCTGGTGAAGCGGATCTTCAAGAAGACAAGAAGACCTGTGAAACTTTTGGCTGAGTTTGCTTAGCTATAGATCAACCCCACTAGAAGGCGGACGTTTGCCAGGGGAGCTGCTGCAAGGAGGGCGGCTGAGGTCAAGCCTTCTGGACTTCAGCGACCAGCCGGGTTTGAAGGTGCAAAAGCACGTCCAGACCGAGCATTCCAGAAGTACACTTCCGCCATTCGAAGATTGCCAGGTTTTCAGGGTCAAAACGAGGCTGTGGACAAAGAAGGCGAAAATCATCGCCAAGGCACACCCAAGGTGGTACCAAGTTTTAACCGAGGATGGTAGGGTTATTCAAAGTAACAGCCTACATCTACTACCGACAGGCGAGCCTTTGGTGCTGCGCACACCGCAAGGTGACCCCTCGGACGAGGAAGCTCATATAGACTTACCGTCGGTGGCGTCATCGGGCAATCAGGACGCTTTGGTGCCTTTAAGCAGGCGTTTGAACTCTCCTTCACGAAGATCCCAGCGGAAAACAAGTCCTCCTACGCGACTACACTATGACTGTAATTTCATCAAGTGCCTTAGTGTTTAGTTCGACGTGAGCGCGTTGGTGAAGTTAAATAAAAACAGAAAGAATAAACATAGGGACGGACAGAAGAGCACCTCTTTCGACTTTCAACACAAATAGCTTTATTAGGCACCGGCGCCTTAGTGTGTTTTCTTTTTTTAACTAACGTAATTGCAACGGGTTAAAAGTTTCTAATAAAGAAGGGGAATGTATTGTATTGCGCTATACAAGATAGCCACGCGGTGAAGCGAAGAATTGCTCGCGCAACCAACAAGAGCATCGGGGACATCGTTCAGAGCCTCTAGACTGAAAGAACACACACTGGACACGGCGGGACGTAGTATCGACCTGATAATGATGTCGTAAGATTGAAAATGATACTACGGAAGCTGCCAAAAAAACAAAGTGGAATGCCGCTCCATAAGTACATTTTGTAAGCCAATGGTGTTTTAAAAAGGGGCTTCTCAGAATCGGGCAGATTGGTTTTGTAAAACTCAGGATAATTAAACTCGCTTGAAATTGAAGGACGTACGACCAGGATATAATTATACTTTTATTCTTTTTTTTTTACTTTCTACGATGAAACAAAGATGTCTTTTCAGTTTGTCTGCTCCTGCAATACGACTGATTTATTCCATTTTTTTCTTAGTTGCTTCCTGCTTCGGTGCTACAATGCTCGAATAATTCGCCTACACCTTCAACACTATCTCCAACGCCTCCCTTCACAATTCGGCATCGGTTCCATAGGGACATAAGTATAAATTCGTGAACTTTTTATTGCGTCAATTACATGCTGCAGCACTGAGAGTGAAGATGTGTTTGCGACATCGTCTCGAAACGGTTTATTAAAGTACGTCACATCTTATCATTACAAAGGCCGGTCTTCCAAATTGAAAGCTATTTATAGAAAACAAAAATTATTTTGACAAATGAATGGAGAGATCATTAAATATGGCTGAAACCTTGATTTTGAATCGGGCTACGGCTTGTGTGACCTCGCCTTGTGGTTGCTTTTCCAATTGCATTTATCATTTTGAAATATTATGGTGCTACGTTTTAATAGAATAATTATTATAATTGCCATTCACCTGACGGAATTCCCTCTGCAGAAGCGTGTGCGCGCACTTCCCGCCGCGGGAATCACCAGGAAGAAATAATGGAATTACAGGTCGGTCCCTGAAATTATCCCACCATTTTGAAAAAAAAAAAAAACCTTGGCTTCGTTATCTCTACCTTTCCACGGCTTATCTTCTCCCGCGGTCTTTAAACGCCAGTACTTTAACAGAATCATACCAGGCTTCAATAACTGCAGCGTAAATACCTTCGTAACAGAGTATTAAGTGCTAGCTATTTAATCTTCCTCTATATATGCTCAAAACTTTGTGTATGCTTTGTAATATCAGCTCTATAAACCTCAGAATGACCCACTCCCATCCTGAACATTTACAACAAAAAGCTTTTTTTTTTTAATTCGTTAATATGGTTTTTCTTGCTACATCCCTATCAAAGGATTATCACGCGTCTTGATGGCTACTTCTAACATACCTTGCCTTAAATATTTCATTAACCTTAAGAAGAAGATGAAGGCGGTTTGTGGAGAATATCATGCTGGAATTCAAAGAAGACAGAAGTTTACTTATTGTTTTGGTGCTCGCCAAAGTAGCTATCACTGTACGTGCGTGAACGGGGGACCTGCTACTTACGTGATACTAATACAAGGGTACTTAAGCCCATTTAATTGCACATATGCACCCGCCAGAGTACTGAAAATGTTCAGCCTCCTTCACCTGACCGCAGTAGTGAGGCCACCATTGCTAGTCTAGCAAACATAGCTGTAAAAAAAGAAGCGGCAGAGAAAGTACAAATAGGGCCTCAAAGGATGAGGCTGTGCAGAGTACGGACGATTTGGTTCGGCAGCTGCTGAGGATGGTCCAACTTCTTCCGAGCCAGGTTGGTTCCCTGAAGATTGAATGCCCTGCGTGACCAGTTTGGTGTGCCTGGTGTGACTGTGGCTGGGTCATGTGTTTCATATCGTGCAAACTCTCCTTCCAGAGAAGTTCCGTAGCATAACAGTACGAAACACCGTAACTGAGTTACAGCATTTCCTGTTTGTCATTTTTTTTGTCTTTATCGAGGGTTGCCATGGAAGTCTTCAATAAGCTAGATGTACTATTCTTTTAGATGCCACAATCCAAGAAATAACATTACATGCGACATACCAAGCGCCGATGTCCCTGTGACTCATGTAACGTATCCCAACGTGACGTTAAAAAACGTGGCCGAACGGCGCTCTGTGAACGGGCCTTTAGATTAAATGGCCACTATTAGCGGCTATTTGTTTTGGTGACACCCACATATGGTTCCCTCTCTTGACGCAATGGCATTGTGAACAACAAGTTCAGTGGTGTTTGTAATTAGCATGGGGGAAGGTCTAAATCATTGCGCTCTGAAATCAACATTGTCAACGCCGTAAAAAATGAGTTTCCAAATGTCTCTTTGTCGCTGACGATGAGAAACCCTTCCGTGACGTCAGAGTCAGCATTCGGCCAATCGCAGAAGACCGACCAGAGCGACGCTTTTGATCGGGCACGTCGCCGATAGTCGCAAACATTAGAAGAACGGCACGAAATGACCTTCAACTGTCTTACCTTCAGCGCGAGCTTGGCGTTCGTTTAATCGTCTCGTGAGCTTGGAGCTTGCACGCGCAGCCAGAACGCAACGGAAGCGTTTGAGCCCGGCATGGATACTGGTCATTTTTAAGGAGATGCACTATCATTCTCATTCTGTCAGTGTCCATGCGGAGCTCAAGTTCGTCTGCTTCTCTCTCAGGGGTTGTGCTGATGTCAAAACGACGAGCTCTTATTGGCTCATTAATAAAAAAAAAAGAGGAAAGAGTTCGCAAGGCGTCTATAGCTTCGAGGTCTACATATCGTAGTTTCAATCAAATCCAATCAGAGCTCGGCGTCGTTCTGACATCATTGCCACTTCTGCGCAAGAAGCAGACGACTTTCTCTCCGTATAGTCCATACCACCCAGGAGACCAGGACCGTACATGACGTAATCGTTAGTGGTTTACCGTCCCAAGCCTAAGCGGTAAACACGATGAAGCTCAACGAGAGTACGCCGCGAACCGACAGACATGTGCGTTTGGCGTCGCTCGGTGCTAGCGTCACCCTCGTTCTTTGATGCTGCAAGACGCTTTGATCGCGACGCTGACGCGAGCTATATGTGACGTTTCTTAGATCCTCTCCCGATGACGCCATATAGGTGATATCACTATAGTCCAGAGTGCCAATACCGGAAACGTTTTTGTTTTATTGTTCGTTTTTCAGAAGTACTGCAGAAGCGCAAGTTTGAAAACGTCATGACCCTGGACAGGCTCTCGTGGGGCTACCGCAGAAACGCCAGACTCCGGGATTTCCTCAGTGACTACGACCTTGTGCGAACCCTAGTCGAGACTGTGAGCTGCGGCGGCAACCTTCTTGTCACCGTGGGTCCCACACACGACGGACGCATACCGCTGCTAGTCGAAGAGCGGCTCGTCACCCTGGGCCAGTGGCTAACTCTCCACGGGGACGCCGTGTTCGGGTCGAGACCCTGGGTCGCCCAGAACGACTCTGTGTCCGGAAATGTCTGGTTCGTAAACCGTTCGGGCAGTTATATATATATAAATTAAAGCTTCAAACTGAGTTTTTTCATCCCAGGCATCTGTCTGTCCGTTCGTTTCCAGCTAAATTTAGCGGAGAAATCGACATGGCGTTAACTGGTGTCAGGTGACACGTGCACCGATTCAGTTACCGCTCTAAATTTAATAAGCAAAGGGCTAGAGCCAAAGGGTTGCTCGCACGGAAATGAAAAGTAGCGCTACCATTCTCACCTTAAAAGTGACTAAAAGAGGTGGTGGCTGTAGGCGACCCCACTGAACCGGCTCATGGGCTCGACCGTCCGAGCGGACGTACTTGCACGTCGAATGGCTAGACTTCCTAACGGTCTTAGCGGGTCCAAAGAAACCGAAATTTAATTACGGACGCAAAAATGACGTTCAAAGCCTCGTAATCGTGCTTAGAAGACTGCGCATAAACGACCACGAATCCAAAATGGCAGCCAATACGCGAGCGCCGCGTTGATGCCACTGTGACACACGGTACGCGATAGCGTAAATCTACTCGGAATTGTTTCTGATATAATAAATGTGTTTTACTAGAACTACTATTATTATTTAGGAAAAGAATAACAATATGAGCTCTTAACTTTGAAACGACTGATTAATGTATGATAAACAAATCGTAGATATCGATACTTAAAACTGAAGCAAGTGTACACGCGAGCTTGTTTAAGATAGACGATATTGAGCAGTTAATTCCTCATTTTTCTTCCCGCGCCCTCTCCATACAATATTTCATGCATTTTAAAACTCTGGAAATAAAGGTCGCTCGAAAGGTGTGAGCGTATAGAAGTTCGAATTTAATAGGACTGCGTCATTAATAACTAGAGCAATACAAGTCAAAGACACAACATTCCTGCCCTTCTTAAAGTGTTGATGCTGGAGCGAGAGTGTGATATCCGATTTGGACATCGGTTATGTGTATAACACAATAAAAATAAGATACTCCTTTGATCTACCGCCTAGACCTCCCATTTGACAAAAAGCATTACGCCGGGGTCACACTGCTCTTACCCCCCCCCCCCCCCCCCTTCATACACAATACACTTTGCAAACACGAGTCACCGCAATATCCGTGGTTTGAATGCCGTGTGTCAAGTTATTTCCTTAAATTCATTGTCATGCGGCATTCGAAGCACTGATCTCGCGGTGTATAACGAGTTATCTCCTTAAATTCATTGTCATGCGGCATTCGAAGCACTGATCTCGCGGTGTATAACGAGTGTTTTTAAGGTTTTAATTACGGCTCCTTGTTTTCGGTGAATACCGAAAAGGAACCAAATAAACAGCCCCTAGGCAATCTTTGTTTTTGTGCTGTTTTTTTTTTTTTCAGATTCGGGAAATTCGGTGAAACACCAAGTTACAACCGTATACAAGTAAAAGAAAATAAAAAAAAAAAGCTAGAAGAGCCGAAATTTTAAACTGCAGTCTTATTTTGTTTTGCCCCGGAATAAAACCTGCATTTGAGTGTCCGCAAGGGTACTTCACTCTTCAGGAAACACACCCCATTCCTCTTATATTTCGTTCTGGGTTTCGGGAGATTTCTGATTATTCTTTTCGCGTAGATATGTGCTGAGGGTCGAGAAACCGTAGTAGTCCTCAAAATTTGTCATAATGAACCAATTTCACAGAGAAAATATTTGTACACTTTCTCCAGCTCTAGAGCGCCCGGACTGCTAGTCAGAGTGTTAAATAGGGATAAAAAAAAAGTACGATTCAGACCTAGAAACCTAATAACTGTAGAACATCTATAGTCCGCGGACTGCATTACGGTAAATACGAACGACTGTGGCAAAAAAACACCATCATTTTACTCTTTTTTCCCTCTAGTAACCGCGAATGTGTGCCTCCTCTGCAGGTACACGTCTTCCGAGATGCCCCCATCAGCTGCGTCGAACGGGTCCACTCCAAGGGCCGCAACACCGTCTGCACTCGAGACCGAGCCTCTGGTGCATGCCTTCCTACTAGAGTGGCCTTCCAGCGGCCTGCTGCGTCTCGGCTCGATATCGCTCAGCGACAATAGCCAGCTAAGCCTAGTCGGCGCGACGCAGAAGCTCAGCTGGAAGGCCGTGGGTGACATGGTCATCGTGAACCTGCCTACGCCGCCGGTCAACGTCGCCTCAAGAGTCGGTGTTTGGGTAGTGCGGATGAGCGGCGTACAGCCAAGACCCACGCGGCGCGTTAGTACGCGTCTAATTGGAATTCGAAAGAATACAGTGTAAATTATAAATGAAATTCCAGGTTTCTTGACATTGTCTTCTGAATTAAAGCGGCGATGAAAAGACTTCCTGCACTTTGCGTAAATACCACTTATAATGAACCTCCGGCGTTTATTAGCCATGAAACACCTGTCCGAATTTATCCCCGTGCAATTGTGCGCTCAAGAAAAATGTTTATAATCTTACACCCCTTGTCACATATAATACACCGTTAAACTTCAGTTTGACGTGCAGCGCACTGACATTAATCCAACGGTTCAATCTATGAGCCGCATTCAAATATCATCAGAGAAGGACTATGACAGCACTGCGACCTCCATACTGCATCATCCAGTTTTGCGGAGAGATTGAAAGAAAACGCTCGATTTTATTGTTGAACTTATACCGCAACGAAGAGGTATCCTGGTGAATCACGTTGCGTGAGAGTATGCTTGAATCCCCCTAGGAACAGTAAGCTCGAGTAAAGTGAAAAAGAAAAAAATAATATTCAAACATAATATTTCTGCCCTGCCACTTGAGCTGCAGCGATATGCGAGGTGCTGTACTTTTTGCTTCACTATAGTCCACACTGTTTCACACGGCTGGACACTGCTGCGCGCAGTGCCACTGCCACGTTTAAATATAGTGGACTAATTGACTACCGCTACATGTAGCGAACCTGGTTGTTGTGACATTAGGGAGTTTTAGAATAGCGCACGCTAAAGCCTTGCGTACGCAAAGAATAGCGTCGTCGCCACTGCGCATGCTCCGAACGCAAACCAGGTTTTGCGCTTTGCGTGCGCAATTTTAGCGTGCGCTATTTCTCGGAAACAGCGTGCGTACGCAAAGAGTTTTTGCGCTTCTCCAAGGAGGATTCGTGATGAGAAGTTGGCTAAAGCCAAGACGAGCAGAGTTGAAAAAATTGCCGGCTTCCAGGGTTATGTCGGCGGCTGCTTTGGCGGCGTCGTAAGTGCGACGTCGGCGGCATCCTCGCGACTGCAATTTTCAATACGGGACGACATTGTAATCGGTTTGACAGCGATCACCGGCAACTTGATGCTTGCGACGCGCGAACATTTCACGGCGAAGGAACGATGTGCGAAGGTCAGTACACGAGACCTCTCTTGCCGAGGCGACGCAAGCGGACACGACCGGTCAACCGCTCGCGTCGTGTTCTCATGTTTAAACAAATTAAAATGCTACTCTGGACCAAAAAACTCGTTTTCTTTTAAAGTTACATCATTCCATGTGTGAAATAAAAATTTGACTACCTTGGTGGCGTCGCAAGCGCGAGATGCTTAGGCTTTTGCGTCGCGGCGGAGAAACGCTGTTCTAAAACTCCCCTGCGTCGCGTGCGCTAATACAAGCGCTAAATTTAGCGCTAGCGTGCGCTAAAATTGAGTACGTTATTCTAAAACTCCCTATTAACTCTTCGGGACTTTTATGACATCCCGCGGCACTAAATTATCGATAAAGTTTGGGAATTCATATTGCCAAAATTTTAGCGGCGAATTGTGATGTTATAACCAGACACTTTGCCATCGCATTGTCACGTGACACCCTGCCGTGACGTCACACTAAATTTTCGCTAAATTTAACAGATACAAATCTCCGCCCTACCAAAAAAAACAAAAACAAAAGAAAAAACGAATAATGCTTTGCTTTCTGGAATACTGAACCGGAAATCTATCAAGATGCATTTGGATTTCAGGTTTTTGAGAATCATTCCTTCGGTTGCAACTTGGATTTGAGGTATCTAGAAACAAATTTCCAGTTCCATAACCCAGGCAGTGAAAAGTTATAGTGGGTTTTTCCTGTGGGACGATAAATCTGTAGGGTCAAACGTTTGACCACGTGATGCTGTAACGTCACGCCAAACTCAGTAGAGAATCTGTTCGTCTATATCTAGCTACATATCATGCAAGGAGTAAAGTTCCTGCGAAATTTAGTGGAAAGATCAGAAAGTTTAACTAGATCGCTCCGACTTGATACTCCTCTTCCTCCTTTCCTCGTATATCGTTTAGTTAACCGCTATCGTTATCGGGGGCATTGGAGATGCCCGGAACGGTATACTAAGACCATCTATTGTTCCGCCCTATCTAGCGGGGAGCCACGTAGAAGTTTTCTCGCTAAAGTTAGCGGATAAAGCTTGGCGCTATATTTACGGTCCGCGACGTTAACATGGACGGCCCTCATGACCAGGTGCGAGGTTTTGTCACCAATGGCTACCGTCGAAAAAGGTAACCCCTCATCTTTCTTGTGCATCAAGGGCTTTATTTTTCCTTCTAAGAGCCTGTCAGCAGGCGACATTAGTCAACATTTTCGGCGGCCATAAATCATTGCTTTATAATTTCGGCTGGATGGAGAGAGCCATCATTCGTAGCTTTATAATTAGGTCTGCACGGAAGAAGTGCAGAGAGGTTGCCACGAACGTAGACTTTGGCTAGCTCCTATAAAGGGGAGGGGGACGAAAGCCATGGTGATAAGGAAGAAAAATAGTGATAAAACTGCCAATGAGGGCGAATATGCTAGTGGAAATAACGTTCAAAGTCTCAAAAAAGTATATTCTACAAGGTGTCGGACAACAGCGTATTTGTGAGGAACTCTAGGCTGCAGACAGCCTTTTTAAGTATCCCTGTGGGAGTAAATGGTTCTACCACCTCGACCTGCTTAGGTTAGTTTTCGTGATAGCATTGGAAGACGAATGCATAGTGTTAAAAAAATAGATATTTATAAAATCATAAATGTGCACGGACCAAGTGGTCTAAACATGAAATTGTAAGGAATCGTTTAGAAAGGATTAAATAAAGTAGTCATAAATTGCTAACACAATCTAGTAATCAAAGCATTAATTTTTACTTCTTATAATTTTTAAATATATATTTCTTAGCCTTTTTAAATTTGTATTAGACATTTTTTTTAAACGCATCCTCGAAGTTTTTTTTTTGTATTTTTTTTTTTTTGCTACAAACAGAGTTGACTATACTCGGCGTCAAATAGTTTGTTCTACTTTGTCAAAACTAGCGTAGCTTATACAGTGCATCAAGGGATCATGAAACGATTTTTGTTTTGCGTTCGCTAAATACTACTTATACTCACTTCCTAACGTTTTTAAAGGGATACTGAACCAAGGAATTTGGTGTCCATAATAAGTGGCGCACGTTCTTTCCACGAGCCAGCAGCCGCCGGTGTGCGCGAGCACACGCAACAAAAATGACGTCACAGACCTCCATTCGTGGTTGAGATGACAGTGAAATGTATGGGCTTCGGACCAAAGGAGAATAAAGACAAGTTTTTCATCTACACAGTGGTGCCTGGTGTAAAAAGTAAGCGATGAATTGGTCTAACAAGCACGTAGCTTTCGCTTGTAGAGATGAAAAGCCTGTCTTTATTCTCCTTTAGTCCGAAGCCCATGCATTTCACTGTCATCTCAACCGCGAATGGAGGTCTGTGACGTCATTTTGGTTGCGTGTGCTCGCGCACACCGGCGGCTGCTGGCTCGTGGAAAGAACGTGCGCCACTTATTATGGGCACTAAATTCTTTGATTCAGTATCCCTTTAACTGCCAACAAATGCAATAGATTTACATTCTAGGAAATGGCAGTCGCCAAAAAATTTCGAGAAATATGACAATTGTCCGTCCCCTCAACTAGGAACCAGAACAAGCGACCACGTGTCCTGGTGCCTATCCTGTGCCACCAAAATTGAACACTGGGGTTTTAAAAGTGGAAAGTAGGGTCTGAGCTCCATGCAATGTTAGAGTTCGGCTATTCTGATCACCCCAGGGGTTAGACACGAGCCATTACCCTAGTGTCTTCAGAGGCATTGATTGGTACGAGCCTAAAGGCTCATTCACACCGCCCCATTTTCTTACGTTAAGTTACGTTATTCACCGAAACATTCGCGTCTCGAATGTCTCGTGCCGGACTCTCTCCTTGAACTGCTAGCCACGCTTAGCATGAAGCACATATGTCCTGGTGACTTGTACGTAAGCTCTCGTAACGTAACGCAGCGTAAGAAAACGGTGCAGTGTGAATCAGCCTTTAGCCGGCTGCTCACGTTGTTCTCGTGTCCAATCCATGAACCGCGCTCGACTGTAGCCAGGTGGGCAGTTTTGATTCCGCAATTACTTCATCAAGCTTTGCGAAGGCAAGACTGAAATAAATGGTGCCCTTCTATCCTTGCAATTTCACCGCCACAAAAGAAGCTACTGAATCGGTGGCGGTCTTTGCGAGCATACTTGGGTCCCAGACTATATACTCCTTCCACTCTTAAAGGGGCCCTGCAACCCTATTTAAGCGTCTACTTTTTTTTACGCTTTCCGCATCTCTTGTGGCTCGGGCAAGCACAGAGAGAGCCACTAAATATCAGTGCATCATATTTTAAGCGGACGACGCGGAAACCTTTTCCTCCTGCGGCGGCGCCCTGTGGTGCCGAACGCGCGCGGCATGTGACGAATCCGTGACGTCGTCGCTCCCGGTCAGGTGCTGCCTTATGACTGGCCAGAGCCGCTAAAAGCATTGCCTAAACATCTAACAAGAGATAACTTACGGTGCAGTTGCAAAAAAGAATGTTTCCTGCGCAGAAAAGAGCAGACGTCATCGTCTTTCAAGGTCACGTCATGAATGTTTGATATTTCCAGTACTACGCCACTTTGCGGAGAGCTGGGGATTGTCCTACCCTTCTGTCGAGAAAATAAAATGTCGTGCAACAAAAAGTTCAATGTTGTCCGTAAAAATCACGCTGGAAGTTTAAAATCGTCGCCCTCTCGTAACAACAGCACCAAGGTGGAAAATCTGACAAGGGAATTAATTTTTTCTTTCGTCGATGGAAATATGGGCAGCGTCGGACTGTCAACTTCAGAGTTGTTGTTTTAAGAATGCAGTGACTTCAAACATCCAGCATGCTTTTCATAAGCATCTTCAAACTTCTCGAACTCGTCGTTCGACGCCATCTTTATTTCTCGCCGAGCGATGGGCAATCTGTAGGGAGGACGGTTTGTCGTTCCTGCAAAGTACGGGGATTAGCAAGCGTCCATGGCGTGACCTACAT